TCATGTCTGGAGGAAACCAGGCACCGCTCACTACCTGGCCAATACCATCCCTACAGTGAAGCATGGTGGTGGCAGCATCATGCTGTGGGGATATTTTTCAGCGGCAGGAACTTGGAGAATAGCCAGGATCGAGGGAACGATGACTGCAGCAATGTACAGAGACATCCTTGATGAAAACCTGTTCCAGAGCGCTCTGGACCTCAGACTGGGGCGACGGTTCATCTTTCAACAGGACAACGACCCTAAGAGCACAGCCAAGATAACAAAGGAGTGGCTACGGGACAACTCTGTGAATGTCCTTGAGTGGCCCAGCTAGAGCCCAGACTTGAACCCAATTGAACATCTCTGGAGAGATCTGAAAATGGCTGTGCACCGATGCTCCCCATCCAACCTGATGGAGCTTGAGAGGTATTGCAGAGAAGAATGGGAGAAAGTGCCCAAAATAGGTGTGCCAAGCTTGTAGCATCATACTCAAAAAGACTTGAGGCTGTAATTGGTGCTAAAGGTGCTTCAACAAAGTATTGAGCAAAGACTGTGAATACTTATACATGTGATTTTTTTTATTTTTAATAAATTTGCAGATTTCAAACAAACTTTTTTCACATTGTCATTATGGGGTATTGTTTGTAGAATTTTGAGGGCAATAATTAATTTAATCCATTTTGAAAAAGACTAACAAAATGTGGAAAAAGGTAAGTGCTGTGAATAATTTCTGGATGCACTGTATTTAATATTGTGTATATTAGTGTTGATTGTTTTATTGCAATGAAAATGCTCTTGTATCAGAATTGGATTGAAACTGAACAAATGTGGATCGGCCCATCACTGCTGAGAGAGGAAGAATTCAGAGTTTCTGAAATGATCCTTGACTTCACTGTACTGCAGCTTTTAATTTGTGCAGCAATTGCTGCTTCAGATTTTGTGCGAATGGAAGTCAAACAGGTTCATGTACTGTATATGTTCACACTACAGACCTTTGTGCTCAGTTCTGATCTTTTTGTCAGACCTGGTCTTTTTGTTTGATGGCTCACATCTATGTTTGTGAGTGACATGAATCCAGTTCCTGGTGTGAACACTGACGTCCTTAACTGACACACACATATGTGGATTTAACTAAATTATGAGCTACTTGTTTACAAGAATAACAACAGTATAATTTGTGCAAAGATGAAATTGTGCATTTTGCTCAAAAACTGCTTGGTTATAATGTGCCGCCCCGTCTGTCTTGATCAGAAGCTTCTCCATGAATGTTCAACAAAAATGAAATGTCACTGGTGTTGCTCTCCTCCATTTTTATTTTTTACCCGACTGTGAGTGGCCGGCATTGAATGATAACGATAGGCAAAACAGTTTGTCCAGCGGACAGAAGTGTTGGGGGAAAAAAAAAAAAAAAACAACAACCAACAACAACAACCAAAACATCCCCCCCATAGGTTCCAATCTGATTGTTCTGACAGCAGTCACATGGACAGGGATCAGCTGCTGTGAATTGACTCAGGACAGTTTTAAAGACTGCACTGTTTGTATAATTGCAATATTACTATGAGGCTGGTTATTCAATGGGATTGTGGTTATATTAATATATATTAAATATTATTTTTAAGAGATATTTTCCTGGTCTTAAAAGCAGCATTACAGCTGAGTAAGGGAGATTTTTGTCATTCTACTGCTAATAGAAACCTGAAATGAACTGTTAACATCCATATCTCCTTGGTCTTCATGTCCACATTACTTTATCTCAGAGCTCATCTAAAAGTAGTTTAAATTAAATAGTGTTATCGGAGCTCATGTGTTGCTTTATCAAAATTAAAATGTCTGTCCATTTTATTGGATGATCTGTCTGCATTTAATTTGTTAACTAAGCTTTAAAGCTACTGTTGAACTGTTTTCAACTTTAGAAAAAGATTTTTGTAACAACAAATCAAACTTCTCCAGGATGTCTGCTTTCCAGCTGCTACCTATTAGTCAGAATGTAAAAACCTAAAGTGAAACGCAGAGGTGTCTTTACCCCCTTATCACTTTGGCATGTCTTCATCACCCACGCAGAGATGGAGCAGAAGCTGGCAGAGGAGCGAGCAGCCAAACTGCGTCTGGAAAACAGAATACTGGAGCTGGAGAAGCACAGCAGCATGATGGACTGTGACTACAAACAGGCTTTGCAGAAACTAGATGAGCTGCGCAGACACAAGGACCGCCTCACTGAGGAGGTGAGTGTTTCTCTTTTGTACAGAAGAGATATTAAATGCCACCTACAGAAACAAATCCTGCAGCTTATGTTACAGGTGTCAGTTCTAAGCTGTAGAGGAATAACTAATGCAGTGGCAGTTTACAACAAGAAGTACAGACAAAATAACAAAAGCACATTCCACATTATTAAGAATAGGGACAGCCATTCATCATACAAAGTATTCATCTTTGTATTTTGTTCCTTCTTTCAGGTGAAGAACCTGACGCTGAAGATTGAGCAGGAGACCCAGAAGCGTAGCCTGACCCAGAATGACCTGAAGGCCCAGAACCAACAGCTCAGTGCTCTGAGAACGTCAGAGAAACAGCTCAAGCAGGAAACCAATCACCTGCTGGACATTAAGCGCAGCTTGGAGAAACAGAACCAAGAGCTGCGCAAGTCAGTATACATTGGGATTTCCTCTTTGCTTTGCACTCCCATATACTCTGGCCTTCACACTGAGCCAAAATGAGGATGATGACTGATAGATGATTTTACTTCTGCAGAGAAAGACAAGACACAGATGGACAAATGAAGGAACTGCAGGACCAGCTTGAAGCTGAACAGTATTTTTCTGTGAGTCTGTATTCTGTTCTATAATCACAAGTGTGGATGTAAAATGTCTAAGAACTACACATGGTTCTGCCTCTCACCTGCTGAGTGTGTAGGTAGCAATGTGCGTTTGTCTTTATGAAGCTTTCTTACTTACCTGGTCTTCACAGTTGAAACGTACAGTCGTAGGTTGTCTGTTTGCTGGATTGATAAGGTGCATGGAGACAAAAATGTTGCATCACAATGTGTGTTAATGTATTACCTGTGAGTGTGTGGTGTATTTGACCTGTTTGCTGTGTTTTCCAGACGCTGTATAAGACCCAGGTACGTGAACTAAAGGAAGAGTGCGAGGAGAGGAACAAACTATACAAAGAAGTGCAGCAGTCTCTACAGGAGCTACAGGAGGAGAGGTGCTTCAGCTCTTAATATATGTTCTTTTTAGTCCACTTTAAACATCAATAATGAAATTCAACAGATTTTTTTTTTCCCTTCCATGAATAAAACCACTACAAAATAAGGAAGTGGGGGTCAGCTTTGAATGAGGCATTTACATTCTGTTTTAATGATTAATAATTGTTGAGGTTTTGCTTTTCATTTCTCTCAGGGGCTCATTGGCAGCTCAGCTTGAGATCACTCTGACAAAGGCTGACTCTGAGCAGCTGGCACGCTCCATCGCTGAGGAGCAGTACTCAGACCTGGAAAAGGAGAAAATAATGAAGGAGCTGGAACTGAAGGAGATGATGGCCCGCCATCGACAAGAGCTCGCTGAGAAGGACATCACCATCAGCTCGGTGAGTGTAATGCCCTCACAGGAGCCATTTTCAGCTCATAACACACAATGAAGTGTAAATGTAGTGCATCCTCAAGCTTGACAAAGGCCTGTAGGTAGTGTTCAGCTTTGACAGCAGATGGCAGTAGCAGACAGCTTACACAGTGCTCACAATTCATTTCCTGCTGCATGCAGCTGGAGGAGGCCAACCGCACCCTGACCTGTGATGTTGCCAACCTGGCCAATGAGAAGGAAGAACTGAACAACAAACTGAAGGAGGCACTAGAAGGTATTTAAGACTTCAAATGTTTAACTTAAAATTTAATTATAAGCAAAGTATTGTTGTTGGGATCCACATTTATCATCTTTGTGTGTCTTTGTTTTCAGAATCAGAGAAGTCAAAGGACTGGGAGCAGCAGATCAGCCAGATGAAGCAGACATTTGAGAAGCAGCTGCAGTCAGAGAGGACGCTAAAAACTCAGGTAGGTCTGTGTTCAACTTCAGCAAAGTGTCAACTACCATTCTGTGCTTCAATATTAAAATTTATATACACTTAGCAGCTAGAGGGGTTTTGTTTGAAAATTTGTTTCTCTGCCATACTAAAGCTCTCATCCAATTACACAACTCTGAATCAAATTGAAATTTGAACAATGGTAACCATGTTTGTTTACAGGCCGTCAATAAGCTAGCGGAGATCATGAACAGGAAGGAAGTTCGTGGTGGAGGCAGTCGCCGTGGTAATGACACAGACATGCGGCGAAAGGAGAAGGAGAACAGGAAGCTGCAGTTGGAGCTGAGGTTGGAGAAGGAAAAGCTCAACAGCACCATCATCAAATACCAGAGAGAGATCAATGAAATGCAGGCGGTTAGTAGAATAATCACAGGAAACCAGCTAGGAAAATCAGTCTGTCATAGGATGCTCACATACCTGCTTAGTCTGAGTCTCTAAACTGTTTTACACTACACCTAAAAATGTTTACATCATTCGTACAAATGTGCGATATGATTTCCCATCATTACAAAGACTTTTATGAAGCAATGTCTTTGGCTTGGACATTAATGTCCTTAATGTCCTTAATGTTCCTGATCTGAATTTACAGCAACTGGCGGATGAGAGCCAGATGCGTATTGAGCTGCAGATGGCTCTGGACAGTAAGGACAGTGATATCGAGCAGCTGAGAAATCTCCTGCAGTCACTCAGTGTTCAATCAATGGACTCAGCCAGCGTCAGCAGTGGGCCAGAATTTGATGCTGATGATGCGTACACAGGTATCCTACCCAACTTCATATATACAGAATAGAACTGAGAAATGTAGACAAATGTGATGTTTATAGGAGGCTTAGGTTTTTAAACATGTATACTTTATAATGGTGGATTTAAAAATAACCCAAGTTTATGTACTTATTTTTACTGCCACTAGTATACTAGTGTTTGTATTTGATTTGAATTGAGAGATTATGCCTTTACACTACATGTCATAGCTCATACTTTCTCCTCCCACTCAGAAACCAGGCTTGAAGGGTGGCTCTCTCTCCCTGTCCGAAACAACACCAAGAAATTTGGGTGGGAGAAAAAGGTATGAATGAAGCTGATGTATTATTACAGTGTGTCTGCTTTAAAAACAAGTTTTCTTACCATGTCTGCCCTGTTTATGTAGTATGTAGTAGTGAGCAGCAAGAAGATTCTCTTCTACAACAGTGAGCAAGACAGAGAGCAGTCCAATCCCTACATGGTGCTTGATATAGAGTGAGTATAAAGAATCTGCCTCTGCTGAGGGTTTTAACATGTTTGAGTTCAGTAGTTCCTCTAGGGCAGGGCTTCTCAAAGTCCTTGACTCCGATCCAGATTTGGGCCAGATGGCAAGTCAATGTGCACCCAGCTCACACCTCAAATTAGGGAGGCAGTAATACAGTGTAATGAAGTGTGTGTTCCCTACCTGAGGTAGGTCATTGTTAAAGGTGGTGTTGTACTGGACTACATTGTATTCAGAGGTGTCTATATTTTTGTCCTCCCTAGTGACATACTGTACATGAGAGGGTCGGGATATTAGGAACACCTCTAAATATAATGTAGTTCAGTACAACACCACCTTTAACTATAACCTCAGTAATAAACATATAATTGAATTTATATATTTATGACAATTTCACCAAAAACTGAAACATTTTCATCTTCATAAACACAGATGTTAAGGTAGAAGTGTCGCAATGAAGTGCATACAGTTGTACTGGTGTACCTAATAAAGTGGCTGGTGAGGGTACATTACTTGTAAGTTATAAGCAAGTTTAATAAAAGTCATTTACTTATTACTAATCGTTCCTGACCTTGAATATAAATCAGATTTGGACCTTTGAATATTAAGTTTGAGAACCCCTGGTCTAGGGGTATTTGCTGTTTTATTAAGATGCAGCAGTTCACTGTAACGCTGTTGATATGTCTGTCATCACAGCAAACTCTTCCATGTGAGGCCAGTCACTCAGACAGATGTGTACCGTGCTGATGCCAAAGAGATTCCCAGGATATTCCAGGTGTGTCTCAGCACTACAGTGTTGTTGATGTTCTGAATTGTAGAGTGATGTCTTGACTTCTGAAAGGTTATAAATAGTAGTTGGTACTTAGTAGTTTTGACAGGAACATTGGCATCTTCTGTCCTCTTTCCAGATTCTTTATGCCAATGAAGGCGAGAGTAAAAAGGAACCAGAGTTTCCTGTGGAGCCACTGCCCATTGGAGAGAAGTCCAGCTACATCTGCCACAAAGGCCATGAGTTCATCCCCACACTCTACCACTTCCCCACCAACTGTGAGGCATGCACCAAGCCGCTGTGGAACATGTTCAAGCCGCCACCTGCTCTGGAATGCCGGCGCTGCCACATCAAGTGCCACAAGGACCACATGGACAAGAAGGAGGAGATCATTGCTCCCTGCAAAGGTAGGAACCTCATCTACATCATCAACTGCCTGATCTGCAAACTAGCAGGTTTAGTAGTGCAGATTTAGTGTGTGACAAAGATGCCACTGTTGCTAATAAAGATAACAAATAAAGATA